ACAACATATCCCTCCAAACTGCCAATATCCCAAACCCCTCCTTTAAAATTCAGATATTGTACTTCCCATTTCCAGGACTCAAGTCCGGCTATATAAAAATAACCGGTTTCCCTGAATCCTTTTCAATAAATATTACCCTGCTCACACTCCAACAGATCGTCAGGTCCCAAGTACCATTAGTCTCCATTCACTCTTATCTAACAGGCTCTCGCACGCCTGCTGGAAGTCATATATATATATATTTATATATATATATAATATATATTATATATATATATATATATATATATATATATATATATATATATATATAATATATATATAATATATATATATAATATATATATTATATATATATATATATATAATATATGAGAGAGCTGTATTACATTGTAAAAAATCTATTTGGAACAGTTGAAAAAAAAGTTAAGCAAGTGACCAAAATATCAAAATACATAACTTAACCTACTAACACAACTAGAAATTCTGGTAGGTAAGATATGACTGGTGTGTGAACGACTGTATGAATATTATGAAGCTGTTAAGTTGAGATCTGGTTCTCAAAAACTAAATGGCTGTAACTATGACCATAATTTTTAAAGGGGTGGACGGGTAAGCCAGCAAAAAGCCTCGGTCAGGTCACTAAAAGCTCCAACGGCGCGTTATCATCCGACTATAACTCGGGTCAGGGAAACTCTTGTCATATTTCCTCACGAACGCTACTTAACCTAACTGGTTCTCACTTTTTCCAGGACCTGAGAGAGGATGAGGTCGAGTCTGTGTGGTGTTGAGGTCACATCTCTGAAGTTTGGTGCTGTGAAGCACTATCCTGAAGCCCCACACAGACGAGAAAGAACTGTCAAATCTCCAGAGGTAAGAGGATATAACAATTGTCATATCTATTGAACTTCCCTCATCCCTTGCAGGGGTAAGGGAGATCGTCAATAATTTAGTTATCAAGTAATTTAGAGGGAACAGGGCGATAACTTAGTGTAGATAATAAAATACTCGTGCCACGAACAAATCATTTTATAATTGAAAGAATATTACGCTAGTGCTCTGTACTAGTTCTTAACAGCAGTGTACAGAGGAAGTCATGGTACAGAAACACAAACGTAGTTACGTGAAATCTTTATTGGCGACGTTTCGCGCATGTATTGGCGAAATATTCGTAATTTAATTATGCCCACAGGCCTGCCTGCTAACTTTCATGCTGTGGACAAGTTCTGGATCCAGGGAATTGGGTCTACCCCCCTCTTTCCTCTGATCAAACCTGAATGATCCCCATGGGTTGAGAGTTTCCTCCCCAGGAATTTATAATAAAAACCAATGTAAAAAAAAATGCAGCTGTAGCCATAAGCTGTGAATGACATCTCTACAACAGGAATATTTTAATAAGGAAATATTAATTTAAAAAGAACTTCAGAATTGTCAATGCATCATGCATGATGAACTACGTTGTCTGGAGTGCCGTGCAAGAAGCTAATGCAATAATGCAGATTGCTCTAGTCTTCCTGTGAGAATTAAGCGTCAGTGTAGACTCACGACATTCATATATTAGTGGTTTTTGTGTAGCAACGAGTCAGGTGTAGTAATGGAATAATTTTTTGTAATGGTCAGTGGCACCTGATGTACTAGAATACAGTATGGGTGTAGTCACGTGTGGTAGACTAGTCAGGTGTGACGGATGAGTTGGGTAAATACAGATCCCGTCAGTTTTATTATGTATACAGTGCTTATCAGTCAGGTGATTCTTAAGGCACTTGACATGGGTCCATTGTCTTTTGACCTTTAGTTGTGTCATTGCCCCTATCACGAGGGTGCGGCTGAGGATTTTATTCGGAAGGTTAGTAGTCGAAGATAACTCAAGAAAGCCAACATAGATTGTTTTCTGTCGTTACCCCATTAATGAATTGAGGGGATGAAATGATGGCAAGGAAGGTATATTACATGACCTGAGAGCACTGAGTTTTCGTGTGGATTTCAAGGACTTGCCAGCACACAAAAGCAAAATTGTGTATAATCCTAGAGACGAATTAAAGTTTTCTTCTCAGGAAAAGGGGACGAGCTGGTAACTTATCCAGGACACTATCCCATTACAGGAAAAAAAAAACAATTGGGAATCCTTTCTGGCGAGTGTCAACCATATTCAGGCGTTCAGACTTCATACACATTGCTGGAACAAGGTGTATTTCTGGAACATACTGGCCTTTATAACAGCCCCACCCCTCAAGGAAGGTTCCTTGACGCTGGTGAGGGGCTCTTGATCTAAGGAATTTGATCTGTGCTCCAGTTCCTTGAATGAAGCCTGAATACCTTCCATCCCCTCCCCCCCCACATGCACTGTATAGTCCTACGGTTTTAGCGCTCCCCCATGATTAAAATTACACAACCCCAGTTGTGGTTGTCAAGAAGAAATGTGGATCTGTTAGACTGTGTGAAATAGAAAACTAAATAAGGCCACAAAGAGACTTTTTCCCTGCAGAGGCTTTATGGGATCCCTCGATGCCTTGGCAAGAGCCTAATGGTTCCCTACCATTGACGTTGCAGCAGGATGCCAAGTATAAATGCCTCCTACTGACATCCATAAGACTTCAGTTTAGCACCCATTTGGCCACTGAGCACAAGCAGATGCCAGTGGGTCTCTGTAGTGTACGAGGAACTTCCCCGAGTATTGTGGAGAACATTTTTGGCAAGATATTTTCTGTATTGTTGGAGTACCTAGATGACCTAATTATTCGGATTCTTTGGAAAGTCACCTGGAACAGTTATGGTATTCTGCTGACTTCAGCAGCATAACTTTGATTTAAAGTTCTCTGAATGTCACCTTTTCAAATGGAAAGTGTCCTATCTGGGTTATGTAGGCTCTGGAAAAGGAATAGAAACACCCTTTAAGGATAAACACTGCACAACACTGGCAGATCCCTGAGATCTTGAGCCGAGATCCTGGGGTTTGCTACATTTTATAGGAAGTCAGTACCAGAATTTGCCAGCAATGCTACCTTATTAATGTCTTTGACATCAGGATCTGAGGGACAGACACAGTCCATAGTTGATAAATGAACAGAACTTAATGCCTTCCATGCTCTGAAGGAGAAGCTAGTGAAAACTTTAGTTCTCCAGTGTACAGATCAGACTAGGCAATTTTTCCTAGATTGATGCCAGTTTCAATGGTTTAGTACTTTCTTGTCACAAAAGGTGTAAGGGAAGTGACACACAATGGCCTATGCCAAAGAAGAAGTATGTGAAGAACTATAGCAGATTGAAATTAGTTACCTTAACTGAAGTGGGTTGTTACTTGAGTTTAAAGATTGTCTAATAAGAAGTAAGTTTAAAAGGTCTCACTGATAGTAATCCTTTTGATTTGTATTAACAAAAGCTAGGAACTGTGAGCAGCAATTGATTGCTTAGCTGCCCATGTTTGATTTTAAGACAGCATATTGTGCTGGCTAAGAAACCCTGATTGGTAGTCTTGGAGAGTTAATCAACAGGCTCCTGAAGCTGACAACATCTCGGCTCAGATGAGGGTGTTCGCAGTAGACACTTGAGAGTGTGATGACAAGTTGTCAATGAGTAATAGACTGCACCTGAAAGTTAGCAAAAAACTGTAGTATTAGCCTGCCTCACAAACCTTTCAAAAGAACGACTGATATAACCGCAGTGTCAGAATCCCATCACCGAGAAGTCTGCAGAATTTTTCAAAGCCAACTGTTAGAGGAAGAGATTCAGGATGTAAAGAAAAGCCCTGAACTCGGTGGTCTGTGGAAGCAAAGTAAGATGACTCTACGTAAGACCTTACTGTACTGGGAGAGTGCATGTTAGGCAACCCCTCCAGCCAGCCACCTTTTAAGAGTAAGCATCGAGCCTGTGCATGTTTACATGGGCCACAAAGGAACTGAATGAATGAATTAACTGACCAAATATAGGTCAGGTATAGACAAAAATGTACTGGAATGTGCCATCAATGTATTATATTATTATCATTATTATAATCAAGGGGGAAGCGCTAAACCCATAGGATTATACAGCGCCTGTGGGGGGATGTGGAAGGTATTCAGGCTTATAGTAAATGCATTTCTCTGCACCATTGGTGTGCTCTAGCTAGAAAACCCCCACACAACCATGCTGGAGTGAGATTCACAGTGGAGCCTATGCTAGCCTTCCTATAATGAACAGAAATACTGTAGTACCTCAGTACTCGAACAGCTCCCAACTCGAATAATTCAGTATTCGAGCGCTTTATTTGGTAAAAAAAATCGCTTTGTAGTCTACCGTTTGCTTGGGACTCGGCCTAACAAATAAGACCTGCTGGGGAGAAATACGCCAGTGAGTTTAGTAACTATGTAGAGGCTGAGGGTTTTTATTCCCCAACAAATGTTTAATTGTGATGAGACAGGTTTATTTTGGAAAAAATGCCATACAGAACCTATATCACTCGAGAGGAGAAGTCATTGCCAGGACACAAGCCAATGGGAATGTTTAGGAAGTAGGACAGAAGCAGGATACAAGTCGATGGGAAAAATTCGTTCAGTACTCACAGATCAGCACTCAAACAGCCTTCTGGAACGAATTAAGTTCGAGTACTGAGGTACTGCTGTATGCCTAGCTGGATGAATCTTATTAGGCTGGTGTGGTAAAATGGATAGTGCACTGGACTGTTAGTTGTAAGACTGACTTGGCATGGGTTCACACTATTCAGTAAGCTGTTTACATTTGTCTTCATGATTTCACAAGTCATGACTAAGTATATAGTTTGGAATGTGAAGAGCAAGTACAGTTATTATTAAACACTTAAAATAATGGTAAGCCTGTGTGGGGCATTAAGAGCCGCTGAAGATTATTATTATTATTACAGTCATGAGAAAGTGCTAAACCTGAAAGGGCAGTGCAGCACCTGGGAAATGTGAGGCAATTGGGTTTGATCTGAGGAATGTGAGGGCAGGTCAAATTCCTTGATCCCGAAACTAGTATTACAATCAGGATATGCAAACAACAGAACATTTGTATTTCACATTCATTTTATTTTGAAGGTAGAGTATTTTTCCAGAACAGACACATGATTGGCATGGTAATTCTGGGATACTGAAGTGGGGAGGAGGGGGGGGGGACAAAAAAAATGGAAAAGAGGAAAATTAAAGATAGAGAGGGAAGAAAATAATATAGCATCATGAAAGGTGATTAATGAAGAAAGTACTGACCAGCATCTATAATATAAGGGAAAGAAGTGAGCCCCCCCCCCACCCAAAAAAAAGGAAGGTAGTGGTGTAGATATGACATGGAAAGGAGCCAAGGAAAGGATAGCAATTATGGTATGCCAGAAGTTGACCAGTAATAAGCTGAGTAAATGAACTGTGAATGAAGAGTTAATAAATAAGGGACCTGGGAGGGTGAAGTTTATGAAATCATGAATAGATAATAATAACAATACAATAATGTTAAGCTCTAAACCCAAAAATCGTGTTAAGATAACTTGTAAGAACTGGGAAAGATAACAAGAAAAGATGTAACATAAGAGAAAGGAATGCTAAGTAAAGGAGCTGTGTATATTGTTAAGTCACTTTCATTGTACCCTTATAGACAACTGAGAAATGAGAGACAAAGAACCGTAAGAAAGAGGCGATTTTACATAATTTATACAAATATTGGGAAAATCACCGCTGCCAACTCAAACTGAATTTGGCACCATTACATTTTCAATATTTATAACACTTTCTTTTATTAAATAAATAGAAAAAGAACAGCAGTGTAGTATTTGAAGAGAAGAACTTCAAAAAAAAAAATTTGCCTTGCACTTCTAAAGATTTATGACACTTCATAAACCTGCCATAAAGGCAGATGACTTGATAGGCAATTTGATAAAGAGTTTCCCAGAACTGGCTTTTAAGAAGATGAATATACAGATGATTCACTGAGTCCTTTTAAACTGGAAAAGGAGATAATGTAATGAAGCTTAATAAACACAGTGCTATACATAATTGGCTATGAACATGAGACAAAAAATATCTGGAATACAGTATATACAGGGTATGTATATCCAAACCTACTCACACTCTAAAATTTACATCATATGTACAATAGAATTTAACACTGGTATTTTAATATTTACTCCAGTTGAATGAATTATTGAACGATCAAATTCATTCCACCCAAATTTTAGAAGCTCGTAAGCTATATAACTTAAAAAAAAATTCCATTTAACGTGTGAAACTTGCATACTGCAGTAACGTTTCTCAGTCTGTATTACCAAAAAATATAAATAAGAGGTACATACTTTTCCTGGATCTGTAACATCCGAGTACAAAAATTACAGGAACACAATTTATAATTTTTAATAAAAATTTCATTTGCTGCCTTTCACACACTGAAATTTCTTAGATGCATTCATCTAACCCACAGACCACACGACCCACACATATATCTACACAAGACCTATCTGGGCTCAGCATAAAGGAAGATAACATAGTGTTCCCTCACTGTTCCGTAGTTCACTAGTGGCATGTTTTGTTACACTACACCATGTGTGCAGAATCTTGTGAGTATTTTTATCTACTGCTGGTACTAACATTTTAATTGAAATATGCTTGTACAGTATAACATTTTTTTTAAGACTTAATAAAAAGTCATGGAAGTACAGTATAGAATATAAAGTACTGTATAATGAGACAGCTAGATGTACACTTCATAGTTATCAACCCTATCAGAGCAGCTTAACCTGGACTCCTCATCCACAGCAAGACTTTTCAGAACATCAGTATCATACACAGGTACTTGGCAGATCTCGTGCAACCAATACTTCGTCAAAAATCAGTAGTATATTAAAGTGACATGATAACTTTGTTTACAAAAAACTTATAATGGAGGCATCAAACACCAACACCTAAATTTTGAATACTGTATTATATAAGTTGTCTTTTCTCACAATTTCCTTTAAAAATAAAGACAGCATATATTTTGTAGTGAAGTTATCATAACTATTATTATTATTATTATTATTATTATTATTATTATTATTATTATTATAGACAGCTGCCAAAGTCAGACTGAAAATAAAGCAGGCTTTTCATTTCAATACTGAAAACTTTGTTTGAACATACAAAAAAAAATCTCATTAACAGAAGCCTGTGCACAACATCTTAGGAGATGCATGGTAACAAAAATATTATAAGCCCCAATAATATATACTGCAAGTTTTACTTTCCTTGGTTGCATTTTCTACCATTAAAAATTAACACAAAATATTAACTGGTATGACCAGCATTATCTATACAATAAATCAATAAATTTTCAATTACAAAAACATCCTTTAATTCAAGAGTATTCCATTTTCTTTCTACTGAAAGCAAGTAATCTTTACCGCTAAAACATACAGTACTGAAAAAAGTACTGACCACTCCAGATATATGCTTTACATCCTTTTTTTTAATTTATTAACAGTAACAGTTGTATCTTGTTCGTGTGCTTTAACTTCCTTGATAATGAACAGACGGGGTATGAACATTTTGAGGTTATGCCCGAATCCTGAAACATTATTTGATAACTTGGCATCACTGGAGTGAATATCGAAATGAATAGTGAGAATCACTCCCTTCCAGTAGGTACTATGAATGATAAGAAACAGAATGTACTTAGGATGATATTTACAATGTTTAATTAAGAGGTATTTTGAAGAATAAATACATCAGTAATTACTACTGATAATAGTTGCCTTCATTACAAACTAGTGGTACTATACCGGTCGTTCAATGGCTTACAAGTCAGAACGTATACATTTACCACTTCAAGTAACGTTTCAGAATTTGAGATTATGCACTCCAGACTAGAGAATATAAGCTAAGGACAAAACACAACCAAATAGCTAGTTGTAAACATAACAAATAACTGCACCATTAAGTCATATACACATTTATAAGAAGCTTTAAATTACAGTAATGTACAAATGCCAGTGATCAACATAATGGAATGCTTAGTTTCATCTTGAAAGAAAAATGCACTTCTTAAAATCTATATTATACAAATAACAATTGAGAGCAACATGAAGAAAAATCTATTGAGCACTTTAACAGTAAATTGTCTTATGGAATGCATTAACTTAATAAAATTTAACAGAGGTCATACGATATTATCTGGAGAACAATAACATTTGTGAATGGCCACAATTGCAAGGTCTTATATTTAACAATTTTTCAGAACCTGATGTAAGCTCCTTGGATGAATATCTTCTTAGAATTATAGCCTACAGCCCTTTCATATTATTACTGGAAATACTTTATCACCCATCCACATATAAGTTGTGCAACTGTGCTCATCAGATTTAAGGAACAAGGAGGTACAGTATATGTGTGTGTGTGTGTGTGTTCAGATATTCCTTGTTTCCTGAACAGTAATATAACATACTTTAAATTCATCACTTCATATCTGAAAAGATTCAGAAGTGTCACATCTGGAGATGTTCTGGTAAATATTATAGAGGTTCTTGCATGCAATAATAACTTACTTCCAAACAAAACTATCTTTAACCTTATATGGGGAGTCTTGATGGTTGTTTGAATATGCAAGTGTATTGTATACATCAAACATTGTGGTTTTGTAGTTTAGGAATAATCAGCTCAAGTACTGAAGATCTTAATAACAGCTATGTCGAGATATAATTCCATGAACACATCATAATAATATCCACTAAAACTTTCCATGGTTATATGCTACAGTAAAGTACTGTATATGATTTATATACAAGAATTCATTCACCATTCACCAGCAGAATCTTGCCCTTCTACTGACTCCATATTAGGGTTATTTCCTGGTCCAACACTAGTGTTGTCTTGAAGAATTATAGGTGCTACTGCCTTTACACTTATGGCATCTCCATTATCATCCTCAGAATCTGATGTGTCACTGACATGGGAGGGGCCAGCACCATTCTGAAAAGAAAAATTAATTGCACAATAAATTGTATAACAGTATTAATTTTTAATATTTTCTTCTTTTTACCCCAACAGCCCTCTCCTGCCAAGGCAAGGTGATCTGATGATCACCTTGCCATTATTCATTCAACAGCTGTCTTGCTAGACATGTGCTGACATCACAATTTTGATTACCCTCCGACTGCAAGAAACTCCACTCCGCCTACAGAGTGCAGATTCTGCCTTATCCACTTCCAGAACTCGAGTCTGGCTAACCAGTTTTCCCATAAATCCCTTCATAAGTGCTACCTTACTAACTCAACAGCATATCCACTATTATTATAATCATTGGGGAACACTAAACCTGTAAGAATTATACAGCACCTGTGGGGGGAGGGAGGAAGGACAGAAGGTATTCAAGACTCAATTCACGGAACTGAAGAACAGATCCAATTCCCTAAATCAAGAGCCACTCACCAGTGTCAAGGAACCTCCCTTGAGGGGTGCACATCCATTAAAAAAATAATTTCTTCACTCCTATCCAACACACTTTCACAAGCCCCTTAAATGATTAGGTTCCTAAAACTCAAAGCTTCCTTTACCCCCCTCCCTCCAACCATTCCTGGGACGACTCCTACCCTTCACCCCACAGTTGTACACCAGGCTAAAAGGTTGTGATGCTTCTCCATTTTCTGGCTGACAAGATTCATCTTTTACCTCCTGGTTTTCCTAAGTACTTCTCTGATTTAACTATGATTTAGGTTGATATTCAGCTCATTTTTAATCAACTGAAGAGAAATATTCAGACAAGAAAACCATACCCCCGGCCGGGATTGAACCCGCGGTCATAGTCTCAAAACTCCACCCGTCGCGTTAGCCACTAGACCAGCTAGCCACAATAAGATTCATCCAACTAGGTGTATTTCTACACCATAGGAAGGTTAGCACAGGCACCTCTGTGACCACAAATGCAAGTTTTTACAGACGAGTTTTTACAGAGTTCGTCACGGCCACGCTAGGTGGAGATTCGTCTGTAAAAACTTGCATTTGTGGTCACAGAGGTGCCTGTGCTAACCTTCCTATGGTGTAGAAATACACCTAGTTGGATGAATCTTATTGTGGCTAGCTGGTCTAGTGGCTAACGCGACGGGGTGGAGTTTTGAGACTATGACCGCGGGTTCAATCCCGGCCGGGGGTATGGTTTATTTGCAATCGTGTCATTACGATTTCTTAAGTCTCGTTATTCAGACAAGAATTCTGACTGATACTTTTTTGGGAATACTGTGCTATTAATAACAATAGCATCAGTTAGTGTTAATAACTGATCTGTTTATTTGTGCAAATCAGCTAACTGTATACCACTGCATGTTTTCCAGTGAACTGGGACAAATGCCTTAACTCTGGTAATTTTTTTTTTTTTTTTTTTTTTTTAAGCTTTCCATGTATACTTTATTGCTGAATGTCTTGTAACTAGACCATTCACAAAGACTTGGTTTACCTGATGAATTAATTATGGAACAAACACCTTTCCTTCTATCTGAACAATCACAAAGATCTCTTAGACCAAAATGGCTAAGCAGTGTAATCTATTAAGCTACAAAATTTAAGACATAGATGAATCAATGAGTGCCATGAAGCAACACCAGCTCAGTTATTGGGTGATTGTGAATATCTGAGTTCTCGCATGAAGACAACCAAAATTTGTTGATTTATTCTCTGACAGACAATAAAAATTCTCATCCTATAAAATGCTTGTGGCCACCACACAAATAACTCAATTTCTTTACCATTAGCCTAGATGGGTACCGGCCAACTCCTTCGTGAATAACTGCTCTTCGATTATAGTATCCTCCTCTGATAGAAGGGCCAGGCTCATCTTCTGACACCCCACCTTCACTACTTTGTGTACTCTGTGTAGATCGTGTCATACAAACAGAACGATGGTTCTTGCTCCTTGGTATGGGTCGACGCATGAAGCTGTAGAGAGAAAAACACGAAAAATGAATTTCCCTTCAACATATACTGCTAGTCTCTGGAAACAATTGAACTACACTTCCCTCTCAGGTTACCATGTACTTTATATTTAATTCAAACCATTCGCTTAAACTGCATTCACATGATAATCATTATCATCAACTGTATGAGCCCTATGGATTTAGCAATTTTTCCCTGATTATAATAATATTGTTCATGAAAATGCTACTGCTGAGAAAAACCATTTTCCATTACACAAAACCAAACATGTATGGTGGGTAAAGAGTAGCTGAAAATGTTTGTCATACTCCATCATTCTCAAGAAAAAGAAAACTAATGTGTTAAGATAAAATAGTAAACATGCTAATGAACTTAGTTAATGCTATATTTTACTTACCATCTTCGTTTGAGGACTTGATAGTTACCATCCAGTGACCCATCATCACAGTCATCTTCATCTTCTTCTGAAGCTGAAACTTCATGACCAACTGAATCATGACTTGAATCCAGTTCACTGGAGGCTACCATGTCAGAATTCCTATTTAGAATATCTTGATCAATACTCGAGTTCCTCTCTTCCTCTTCGGCTTCATTTGTAGTGTTTGAAGACTGACTCTGTGACATTCCCTCTAATTTTGGTTGCTTGACATCCACTGGCGTAGATTCTGAAAATTCACTTTCTGGGATAGGCTTATCAAATCTCATAAGAGGTCCATGCCTAACTTTGTAGCCATTTGGTAAAGCTTTTTTATCTGCAAGAACTCTTTCAATTGCATCCCATTTATCACCCAGTTGGTGTAAAATATCTACATCATCCTCATTGTTATTAAGTATCTGAAGAGTTTCCTCAATAGTATATTCTTGTCTACCTTCACTCAGTCTAGCTACCACTGGATCAGCTATAGGAAAATTTTTATTTGAATCGTTTGAATCTGTTGAGGTGAAGCGTCGATACTGTTGTCTTGGACAATGTTCACAGCATGGACTCTGTTCTGGGATTGTATTACCATTAGGACTCGTCTCTAGAACACTGTGGCCACAGGGCGGCTTACTACCTCCACCTGTATCTGTCTCTTCTTGCTGAAGAGGGAGGGTGGATGGTTTGTTTGGCCCTGGAGTCTTGACAGGAGATGTGTCTGTTTCACTCATATCCATGTGATCTGTCTGAGTTCCTGAGTCTACCAATATAGGAACTCTTTCTTGACTTGGACTTAAACTGTATCCCTGGTGAAGTAAAATATAAATTAATAGACATGTACTATAAGCACATTAAGTAATATGGTAAGGAATTTGGTAATACATATACTGTAATTACTGCCACAACTAGGCAAGTACACAAGCAAATCAAGCTTCATATCCATTACACTAATAATAATACATTTTTTTTAATCCATTTACACATTTCTTTCCATGGATACCACAACAGTTCAGATATTTTCTTTCCCTCATCTATTGTGTAATTCATCTCTCACAGACCCATTTCCTAATGCACTGGCTTCCAGAGTATCTAAGTACAAACACTTTATTCCCACATCCTCCTACCAGTGTGATCACTTCAGCTTCCATTCCCTACAACTTCTTACTGCTGGAGCTTTATCCCCCATCAACTTGAAAAAAAAAAAAGCAAAACACTGTATTAGTCAAAATTTAAACTATATGACAAGTTAAGTACCGAAGGTGGGACTCCACGAGCTTGGCTCTGTTCCTGTTGCTTTAAATAAATAATGAACTTAAAAACTAACTGACTGATTTCACAGCTTGTATCTGCACAGGTGGATCAACAACAACAAACTATTCTAAATTATTATTGCCTAAAAAAAAAATCTGGCATTAAATCCATATCAAAATCTAGTTTTAGACAACACAAAAAACTATTAAATATCTGAACCTGCTAAGCATACAAGTCAGTAAAAAAAAAACATTGTTTTTCACTTTACATCTTCAGGGTCTCAAACTATAATGGTAACACAGACTGAAGACTTCCTTAACATATATAACAGAACTCGTATGCATGACATAGGAATAACCACTTATTCTAGAAGAAACTAAATGATGCGCAATATTAAATAAATTTAACAGAAATATCAAAAACCATACTCTGAATTGTGTGTACTGTAATTGTGCCACTACTGCTATAAGTTTCTTCATGTTTTTAGCACATTGGAAAGGAAGGAAAACCCAAGGACTGGAAATACACTCACCATCATTCATTTTCTAGTCGTCTTTTCAGAAAAGCATGTACATTATAATCTACCAATGTGAACTGTAATTATAAAAATATATTGTACCTAAATCATTAATGTGTAATAATGCACATGTACTCTGTATTAACTACCTAACTTAAATACTAAATTAATTTTTATAACCAATAAATTACTATCATATATTAATTTACCCCATTTCAAAAATTGTTAGCTGAAAACTTGCTCAAAACACTGTACAGTATAACATGAGCTCCAAAAAATATGTATTATAACACCTTTGTATTTTAATTTAAGCAAATGTATCTATGTATGTTTTTTTTTTTTTTTTTTTTTTTTCAACAAGTCGGCCGTCTCCCACCGAGGCAGGGTGACCCAAAAAAGAAAGAAAATCCCCAAAAAGAAAATACTTTCATCATCATTCAACACTTTCACCACACTCGCACATTATCACTGTTTTTGCAGAGGTGCTCAGAATACAACAGTCTAGAAGCATAAACATATAAAGATACACAACATATCCCTCCAAACTGCCAATATCCCAAACCCCTCCTTTAAAGTGCAGGCATTGTACTTCCCATTTCCAGGGCTCAAGTCCGACTATATGAAAATAACCAGTTTCCCTGAATCCCTTCACTAAATATTACCCTGCTCACACTCAACAGATCGTCAGGTCCCAAGTACCATTCGTCTCCATTCACTCCTATCTAACACGCTCACGCACGCTTGCTGGAAGTCCAAGCCCCTTACCCACAAAACCTCCTTTACCCCCTCTCTCCAACCCTTTCGAGGACGACCCTACCCCGCCTTCCTTCCCCTATAGATTTATATGCTTTCCATGTCATTCTACTGTGATCCATTCTCTCTAAATGACCAAACCACCTCAACAACCCTCTTTCTGCCCTCTGACTAATACTTTTATTAACTCCACACCTTCTCCTAATTTCCACACTCCGAATTTTCTGCATAATATTTACACCACACATTGCCCTTAAACAGGACATCTCCGCTGCCTCCAACCGTCTCCTCGCTGCTGCATTTACCACCCAAGCTTCACACCCATATAAGAGTGTTGGTACTACTATACTTTCATACATTCCCTTCTTTGCCTCCATAGATAACGTTTTTTGACTCCACATATACCTCAACGCACCACTCACCTTTTTTCCCTCATCAATTCTATGATTAACCTCATCCTTCATAAATCCATCCGCCGACACGTCAACTCCCAAGTATCTGAAAACATTCACTTCTTCCATACTCCTCCTCCCCAATTTGATATCCAATTTTTCTTTATCTAAATCATTTGACACCCTCATCACCTTACTCTTTTCTATGTTCACTTTCAACTTTCTACCTTTACACACATTCCCAAACTCATCCACTAACCTTTGCAATTTTTCTTTAGAATCTCCATAAGCACAGTATCATCAGCAAAAAGTAACTGTGTCAATTCCCATTTTGAATTTGATTCCCCATAATTTAATCCCACCCCTCTCCCAAACACCCTAGCATTTACTTCCTTTACAACCCCATCTATAAATATATTAAACAACCATGGTGACATTACACATCCTGTCTAAGACCTACTTTTACCGGGAAGTAGTCTCCCTCTCTTCTACACACCCTAACCTGAGCCTCACTATCCTCATAAAAACTCTTTACAGCATTTAATAACTTACCACCTATTCCATATACTTGCAACATCTGCCACATTGCTCCTCTATCCACTCTATCATATGCCTTTTCTAAATCCATAAATGCAATAAAAACTTCCCTATCTTTATCTAAATACTGTTCACATATATGCTTCAATGTAAACACCTGATCTACACATCCCCTCCCCACTCTAAAACCTCCTTGCTCATCCGCAATCCTACATTCTGTCTTACCTCTAATTCTTTCAATTATAACCCTACCGTACACTTTTCCTGGTATACTCAGTAAGCTTATTCCTCTATAATTTTTACAGTCTCTTTTGTCCCCTTTCCCTTTATATAAAGGGACTATACATGCTCTCTGCCAATCCCTAGGTACCTTCCCCTCTTTCATACATTTATTAAACAAAAGTACCAACCACTCCAACACTATATCCCCCCTGCTTTTAACATTTCTGTCATGATCCCATCAGTTCCAGCTGCTTTACCCCCTTTCATTTTACGTAATGCCTCACGTACCTCCCCCACACTTACATTCTGCTCTTCTTCACTCCTAAAAGATGGTATACCTCCCTGACCAGTGCATGAAATTACTGCCTCTGTTTCTTCCTTAACATTTAAAAGTTCCTCAAAATATTCTCGCCATCTACCCAATACCTCCATCTCCCCATCTACTAACTCCCCTACTCTGTTTTTAACTGACAAATCCATATTTTCCCTAGGCTTTCTTAACTTGTTTAACTCACTCCAAAATTTTTTCTTATTTTCATTAAAATTTCTTGACAGTGCCTCTCCCACTCTATCATCTGCTCTCCTTTTGCACTCTCTCACCACTCTCTTTACCTTTCTTTTACTCTCCATATACTCTGCTCTTCTTATAACACTTCTGCTTTGTAAAAACCTCTCATAAGCTACCTTTTTCTCTTTTATCACACCCTTTACTTCATCATTCCACCAATCATGTATATACACTTATTCATTTTTTTGTAAATAATTTATATTTCAAAAGTTGTATAGTACAGTTCAGTACAGTACTCAAAACCAACAAGTCAGCTGTAATAAATCAGTGTCATAGTAATTTAATTTTAATAAATTTCTTAATTTAACATTTCTTTTTAACCCACCAGCCATCTCCCACCAAGGTAGGGTCATCCAAAAAAAAAAAAAAAAAAATTGCCATCATTCAATCGCTGTCTTGCCAGACGCATGCAGACATCATAGCTTGGATGGCTCTCCAAATTGCATCATCACCTGTCCTCTATATACATTCATATGCAAAACAACCACTGTGAAAGAGTAGTGAAATTCCAAGCGCTTTCGTGACTACTTTGTGACTATCAAGGTAGGGTGATCTAAAAAGAATAACTAAAGTATATACATATGTATAAAGATAAAATACCTACCCTTTTATCTGGCACCACACAATGCTTGGGACTAGTAGCCGAGCTTACATACGCTACAACACCCCCATGACTTTTGTTGCGTTGATGACGAGAACGCCGTCGACTTGACCCTGACCCACCACGTGTAAAATCAGACTCTTGATGGCCTGACTCTGGTGCAGCTCCTCCAGTATGAGATGGAGAAGTTATTCGAGTGTGATTTTGAGAAACGTGAAGCGAGGCAGGGCGAGTTGTGGACAGTGGAATATTATTTGTTCCTATTTCTGTATACAGAGGCTTTTTCGGCCGGTTCTGTTGAAAATAACTTTAGTCAGTGTTTTAAGCTGAGCAAACCTAAATCATCTTTCAGTGAGCAACATATATAAATTTTATTTCATATATTTTACACCATCTCTTATCTAGCATCCCTCTTACTTTGTTCTTTGTAACCTTCATGTAAATTCTACCATCATAGAAACTGCTCAAGAACTTTACTAATAAATACTGCAGATATTAAGATCTGAAGACGAATTAATCTAAGTGGAAGCAGAAAAAAAAATTTAAAACTGCTTTCTACATTTGTCACATAAAAACACTACATATATATGTAATACTGTTTACCTGCCTTTTTCATGTATAACTCAATACATAAGTATTCTGAATTTAAGCTCTAGCCATATAGATGTCACTGCATGCAACAGATATGTTCCAGACCCATGGCAGTTTTATTAAGCTCAATCAAGCCATCCACACTGAATCTTGCATAAGAATCTTCCATACACTTTGTGAACCATACCAATCACATACAGCAAATGTATATTGCACATATGGAATTATCGATGAAAATGGGACATCACATAATAGAGAATTAGCATAAAGTGAGAAAAACCTGCATTATGCTGTTCTAGCCAAATTAAGTTGTTCACAAACCTGTTTCCAAAACTGTACTTACCGAAGAACACTTGGAAGGGGAGAGAACACAAGATGGGGCCTCTGGACTAGTTGGGTTGGAAGACGTAAGCTGACTTCCTTTACGTGCCTGCAGTCGCTCTTGGGCTTTAATTAATGGTCGCACAATTCTCCGTTTACCTTTGTGGATTTGGTTTGCATGCTCCCGCCTGGAAGACGACCTACAACTTTATATTTACTGCTTTACATTCATGTTATGTATACTACAGTATTAAATGTTTTGCTGGACCAATGGCTCTTGGTCCAAGGAATTAAATTCGTTACCCTACTATTTTGCACATAAAACCAAATTACTTACCATTTCCCTAGGCCCTGTATGGGTTTAGTGCTTCCCCTTTCAATATGTTAAAATGAGATATTGATCTACAATAAACATTAAGACTTAAGTGTTTGACTCTCCTTTTCATATTTAAATTCTGAAATTTAAGGAAATAGTACTGGCATGCTTTTGCAAAACATATTTCCAAGTACTAGAACTGTAATCATAATATAGGTGGGCCCCACTTATACATCAGGTTAGGTTCCAGGCTACTGCTGAAAAGCAGAAATTGCTGTAAAGTGAATCATAGCCTTTTTTCTCCTTCAAGTAGGTTTAGCATTTAGTTTTGATTATAATAATAAATTTTCACTTTCAAATGCATATAAAAGCCTGATAACATGTTTACACTATCATATATCAAGTGAGCAATACCTCTGCCACCTTGGAAACAAACACATATGCAGTTTAATGTGATCCTTTATTGACAACGTTTTGCCCACACAGTGGGCTTTTTCAAGTCACACACAGATCTACCTAGGGTGGAAGGTACGGGAGTATTTATAGTCAGGTTCAGAATGTTGAGGTCAGGTGGAGAATGCTGCATCTGATGATCTATAACCTATGACTCTATAACCGGGTGGGGTTATAGAGTCTTGGGTAGCTTGGCAGGGGTATTGGACAAGTTGTGAGTAGACCTTCTGCAGTGTTCTATGTTCTTACGTGGGATAGCGATGAAGAAGTTTCTTGGCGAGTGGTTCAGCTATGTTATAGAAGCCGTTGTTCTGGTTGAAATTGTTGGTTATAGAGATAAGCGATGATTCCAGGATTCTTCGGTATTGGGTGTTGTCTTCTGTAGTGATAAGTCTTCTTCATCGCTATCCCACATAAGAACATAGAACACTGCAGAAGGTCTACTCACAACTTGTCCAATACCCCTGCCAAGCTACCCAAGACTCTATAACCTCACCCGGTAGATCATCAGATGCAGCATTCTCCACCTGACCTCAACATTCTGAACCTGACTATAAATACTCCCGTACCTTCCACCCCAGGTAGATCTGTGTGTGACTTGAAAAAGCCCACTGTGTGGGCGAAACGTTGTCAATAAAGGATCACATTAAACTGCATATGCGTTTATGTTTCCATTGTGTCGGTATTTTATACCATTTATTTTCACCTCTGCCACCTAAAAATGCATATGCAGTACATACATTACTTGCCTTAAAATATATTTTTGTCCTTAGCTTATAGTGAGTGGTGACTATATTTATTGTAAGAAGTCTGAGTAAATAAAGAATAGGTATAATTGAAAACCACTTCATTGTAAAACACTGTAAAGCCAAGAGCTGTAAAGTGAGGCCTTCCTATATAGCTTCTGAACTTTCAATTCATGCACAATTCAAGAGATTTAATGTTTTTCCAATACCCAGTGTTTAGATTGCTGTATATAATGCATATTTCAGTTCCTCCATCAATTCAATAATTTATTCAGTTGACGCACTGCAGTAAAACCTTGTTTCAATGGATCTCAATTTAACAGACAAAATCTGTTTGGATCAAATATTTTGTTTCTAGAATTGTCTGTTATTGTTACAATCATGGGAAAACAATTTCATCATTCATATTTAATTACCAGACAACCCCCCTCCTCTCCACCTTCTCATATTATTCCATTAAATTAAGGTTTCACATATATTTACCCCTCAAGGGAGGTTCCTTGATGCTGGTGAGGGGCTCTTTATCTAGAGAATTGGATCTGTGCTCCGGTTCCCTGAATTGAGCCTGAATACCTTCCATCCCCCCCATAAGCAGGGTATAATCCTATGGGTTTAGTGCTCCCCCATGATTATAATAATAATAATAATAATAATAATAACATATATTTAGGAAATATTACAGTAGAATATTTACACGAGTTACCACTAACTGTCTGAAGCTTAACTTATGTTTTCATGCTGAAAAACAAACTCTTATTATTATAAACATGGGGGAGCACTAAACCTGCTGGGATTATACAGCACCTGTGGGAGAAGGGAGATGAAAAGTACTCAGACTTAATGCAGGGAACTGGAGCACAGATCCAATTCCTGTGATCAAGAGCCCCTCAACAGCATCAAGGAACCTCCCTTGAGGGGCTGAAAAACAAAAACATTTATTATAAACTTACTTCAGAAGCTCTTTTTCTCGTTGTTCAAGTTGAAGCATTGCTGCAGACAGCTCTAGGTACAAATCATTAGCAATTACCAGTTTTCGTTCCCAATGCTCACGTATATCCTGCAATTACCAAATTAATGTATTAAAATGAACAGTATTTACAATAATATTAGATTTTTATATGTTTTGATATGTCAGCTGTTAAATGATGCTGACATGATTTTTTTTAACACAGTGGCTGTTTCCCACCAAGGCTGAGGCACATGAATATGACAATTTAACTTATCAGAGAGTTCTGAACTTAATGGGCATTTTTTTATCTCACCTGCGCATGTTTGAGCTCATCATGACGCCGTTTCACCAAATCTTCTTCTATACGTGGAATATGTGACCCTCTAGAGTTCATAGATGCCATTTGTTGTCGAATCTCTGCCTTCCATGACATCTGAAAAAGGAAGTTGTGCAACAATGAGCAACAACAACAACAACAAAAAAATCCCCAAATATTTATGGAACATGCAAAATTTCAAAAAGCTCTATTATTCCCACCCAAGATAATCTGTTAAAGAATGATATATTATATCAACATGTAAAGTTGGTTTTATTAACCAATGAAGAATATAATTTCATGAGTAGAGTACTGGTACTCTAATTTGCCCAGTGATTAACAACAAAAATAAAAATACAGTGGTACCTTGAGTTACGAACCTAATTCGTTCCAGAAGGCTGTTTGAGTGCCGATATCGAACGAATTTGTTCCCACAAGGAATAATATAAGTTAGATTAGTTCGTTTCAGACTCCCAAAAATGCACTTACAAAAGCACTTACAAAAATACACTTACATAATTGTTCGAGTTGGGAGCTGTTCGAAACTCGAGGTACCACTGTATATTTATATTGTTGCTGTATAACCCATACATGTTTAGCGCTTAAACAGATTGTTATCCTTTATTTATACTGATAAGAACTAAAACCCTGAATTAAGCCTGAATACCTTCCATCTGCAACCCCCTCCCAGGCGCTGTATAATCCTATGGGTTTAGTGCCCCCCATGATTGTAATAAATATAGAGTTCGCTACTATCAGTGGTTTTGGGTATCCGAGGTAGGGCTTGGAACTTATCCCCCACGGATACAGAGGTCCTACTGTAAATCTTTAAATCATAAAAGAAATTAACCTTAGGGCATTATAAGCTCACCTGGGTTTTAAAATATGTTTCTGGAGGAGTGCTGCGAATTTCTACAGCGGCAATGTCAAGATGCATCAGAATATATTTAAAAGATGGCCTATTTCTAGGTTTACTGTTCCAACACATCTGAACAATTAATCTAAAGCCGTCAGGACAGGTGGAGGGGATGGGTAAATGTAAGGAGTTGGAACCCACACCATAGATGATGGCAGAATTGTCGACGTCACGGTAAGGGATTTCGCAAGTCAGCAGCTCCCATAATACTACACCAAAAGACCTAGAAGAAATACAAATACCAGATAAATCACTGGCAAGCTTTACATACCAATATGCCAACATTTTTTATTATATTTTATAAATTGGATACATGGTTTCAAATGAGCTAATATTTTATTATCTCAATAAGGCAGCATTGTTATATACAAAATAAATATTAAATTTGTTATAGAACAGCATGAAGAGTGTTTCAGAAATCTACCCAAGAATGCTATAATTATTTATGATGTCTAGTTATGGATATCTGTGTTATCAACAATTTTGCACGAAACACGAATATAAAAATAATAATAATTATTACTGATACAATACTTGCTGAACATTGAAATGGTATAAAATACCGACAGGTTGTTTGGTAAGACACATATGAAACAGTTAGGTATCTTTATTTCGAAATGTTTCGCCTACACAGTAGGCTTCTTCAGTTGAGTACAGAAAAGTTTATAGAAGCTGATGGACTGATTACATCGTCTTCAAGTCTGTTCAGCTTCTGTCAACTTTTCTGTACTCGACTGAAGAAGCCTACTGTGTAGGCCAAACGTTTCGAAATAAAGATACCTAACTGTTGCATATGTGTCTTACCAAACAATACTTGCTACAAGAGCTTATGAGATACAATAAACTCGTGATCTAATGAACCTCAATTTAACAGACTTTGCAAATTTGCAAATAAAGGACAAAATCCACTGAGTTGACCGATTCAGAAGCAGTGGATAAAGTCTGTTGGTTACAGAATTTTCCATTACTGTTATCACAGCAAAACAACTTCATCTTTAATCTTTATCCACCACAATTACCATCACTGGCCACAAACTCATTCACCCCCTCCCTATCCCTGGTCCATTAAATGGAGGTTTTACAGAACTCTTTCAGCACTTTCTTGTGACTAAAACATTAGAAAATGGAGTATTGAAAGACAAAACTCACCATATATCAACCTTCTCATTACAAGGTTCATTACGAATAACTTCTGGTGCCATCCAGGCCAACGTTCCTGCAAAACTCATTCGCGTGCTGACGTCATTCCACTCTCGGCAAGTTCCAAAATCGCTTATTTTCACTTCTTGATTGCTACCAATGAGGACACTGAAAAGGTCCATAAATAATGAAGTAAACTGTAAACCACTTAAAGGAAAAAAGCAAATGCAATAGATCATTAAGGATATAATTATTGAGAATTATACACATGAATACAGGAGGGACTCACTTTACAGCATTTCGCTAATACAGCAGCTTGCAATTATAACCATTCTTCATTTATTCAAACTTCCTACAATAAATATATTCACCACTCATTATAAGCTAAGGACAAAAATATTTTAAAATAAGTAATAGGTGTATTTTATATGCATATTTTAGGCCTAGCTTTATTATTCACTTAATATATAATAGTGTAAACATGTTATCATGCTTTTATATGCATTTGAAAGTGAAAAAAGGCTATGTTTCATTTCACAGCAGCAGCTTAGAACCTAACCTGCTGTATGACCTGCCTGTACTAAACTGGACTGAAGAAACCTAATATACAGGTGATATGTTTCAGCAATAAAGTTACCCAAGTACTGCACATGAAGCTACCTATCCCTTTTCCAGTTTCTGAAAGTGCCATCTTCCTGTTGAAAAAGATACAAAGCACTTACTTTGGGAAATGTTTAATGAAAACATTTTGGGACTTGGACACTCTTAATGTACAGTACAAAAGGATAAGAAAAATATAAGCTCACACTGTCAGGAAGGCACCTAAGCAGAAGAGAAGTTCGGCACCATATCACGTGACTGCTGTGTCTAGTGGTGGGCAGGGTGAAGCTTGTTTGATAATATGTGTGCAAGTCTTTTATACATTTACTTACTATTACCACTATTGCTATTACAACTATTGCTGCTGCTAATACTATTACAGTGGACCCCCGGTTAACGATTTTAATCCGTGCAAGAGGGCTCATCGTTATGCGAAATAATCGTTATGCGAATGAATTTTCCCCATAAGAAATAATGGAAATAAAATTAATCCGTGCAAGACGCCCAAAAGTATGAAAAAATTTTTTTTTTACCACATGAAATGTTAATTTTAATACACACAAACTGAAAAAGGCATGCACAATTAAATGACACTTACTTTTATTGAAGATCTGGTGATGATTGATGGGATGGGAGGAGGGGAGAGCATTATCTTCTTACTGTTTAGAAGGGGAATCCCCTTCCATTAGGACTTGAGGTAGTAAGTCCTTTTCTGGGGTTACTTCCCTTCTTTTTTTAATGCCACTAGGGCCAGCTTCAGAGTCACTGGACCTTCTTTCGCACAAATATCTGTCCATAGTGGCCTGTACCTCTCGTTCCTTTATGACTTGCCTAAAGTGTTTTCACAACATTGTCAGTGTAATAATCACCAGCAGGGCTTGCAATAGCTGTGTGAGGGTGATTTTCATCCATGAAGGTTTGCACTTCAAGCCACTTTGCACAGTTTTCCCTTTTATCTTTGTAGTGGCAACTTCTTCAATTTCTCTGTCCCCTCCTCTGAACCATTTTTTCCCCCAGGTCGGGCCCTCTTGCTCTTGAAGTTGATCTATCAGCTCATCAGTGGTTAGTTTTCATTGTCCTCCTCCACCAACTCTTCCACATCCTCCCCACATAACCTCCAACCCAAGGACTTTCCCAATGCCACAATGGATTCCTCAACTGGGACAGGATTCTCAGGTTAGCCTCAAACCCTTCAAATCCCTTTGTCTACACATTTGGCCACAGTTTCTTCCAAGCAGAGTTCAAGGTCTTCTTAGTCACTTCCTCCCAAGCCTTACCCTATAAGGTTTACACAATTGAGGGTATTAAAGTGATCTCTCCAAAACTCTCTTAGAGTCAGTTGAGTTTCGAGGTCATTACAAAGCACCTTTCAAACAGAGTTTTGTGTACAGTTCTTGAAGTTGGAAATAACCTGCTGGTCCATGGCTGCAGGAGAGGAGTGGTATTAGGAGGCAAAAACTTCACCTTAATGAAGCTCATGTCCCCATAAAATCGCTCTGCCACGCTGTAGGATGACAGGGGATTGTCTAACACCAGGAGGCACTTAAGTTCTAATTTCTTTTCAGTTAGGTAATCTTTCACATTGGGGGCAAATGCATGGTGTAACGTTATAGAAAATTCCCTAGTGAAACCCATGCCTTACTGTTTGCCCTCCACAGCACACACAAATTATCCTTGAGGACATTCTTTTGCCTGAACGCTCCCGGGAGTTTCAGAGTGATACACTAATAAAGGCTTCACTTTGCAATCACCAGTAAGCATTGGCACACATCAACAAAGTAAGCCTGTCTTTCATAGGGCTTATGTCCTGGGAGTGCCTTTTCCTCCTGAGTAATGTAGGTCCTGCTTGGCATTTTCTTCCAGAACAGGCCTGTTTCATCACAATTAAACACTTTTTCAGGGTTTCAGTCCTTCAGTTTCTATGTACTCCTTGAATTCCTGCACATATTTTTCAGCCGCTTTGGGGGGTCCGAACTGGCGCCTCACCATGCCTTATCACACTATGGATGCCACTACGCTTCTTAAATCTCTCAAACCAACCCCTTTTCTGGCCCTTAAATTCACTCACATCATCACTAGTTGCAGGCATTTTTTTTAATTAAATCCTCATGCAACTTCCTAGCCTTTTCACATATGAAACGCTTGAGAGACGCTATCTCCTGCTATCTGTTTTTCATTTATCCCCCCCAATAAGAGTCTCTTTAACATCTTCCCTCACTTGCGATCTTTGTTTCGAAAACACAGTTGAACCCTTTGGCAAGAACAGCTTCCTTGATTGTCTTTCTGGTGCCCACAATAGTAGCGAATGGTTGATTGGGGTTTCTTGTACAGCTTGACTAGGTCGGCTTTTACGCACTCCACTTTCATAAAATTATCAATTAACTCTTTCTTCATTTCCTTTTAGTAATTCTTACCCTTTGAGGTGTAGGGGTTTGGGACTAGAAGCTTTTTGGGGGCCCCTGGTCACTTTTTTTTCCAGAAACAGCACCGAAAAAAACTGTAATAATACGAAATATTCCGAGTGTATGCTTGGATGTTACCGCGGAGGCTGGCTGGTAAACAATGGGGACGGCTGGCACATGTGAGGCTGGCTGAGGGCACATTGGACGCGTCTCGGACGAAAAATCGGTAAGGGGTTTTATCGGGATGCGCGCAAAAATTTTTACCAGGTACACTCAACAAGACTTATCCCCCTATAATTTTTGCACTCTCTTTTATATCCCCTTTGCCCTTTATACAAAGGACTATGCATGCTCTCTGCCAATCCGAGGTACCTTACCCTCTTCCATACATTATTAATATGTGCACCAACCACTCCAAAACTATCTCCCCCACCTCTTTTAACATTCTATCTTTATCCCATCAATCCCGCTGCCTTTACCCCTTTCATGTTTACTACTGCCTCACGAACTTCCCCCCACACACACAACTGGCTCTTCCTCCCACTTCCTACAGAGTTATTCCTCCTTTGCCCTATACAACGAAATCACAGCTTCCCTATCTTCATCAACATTTAACAAATTCCTCAAAAAATTCCTTCCCATCTTCCCAAATACCTCTAACTCTCCATTTAATAACTCTCCGCTCCCGATTGTTAACTGACAAATCCATTGTTCTCTCGGGTTCCCTTAACTGTTAATCTCACTCCAAAACTTTTTCTTATGTTCAACAAAATTTGTTGATAACATCCTCACCCACTACTCTCATTTTGCTCTCTTTTTACATTGCTTCAACCCACTCTCTTAACATCTGCTCTTTTCTCCATATACTCTTCCCCTTCCCTCCTTGCATCACTTCTACTTTGTAAAAAACTTATCATATGTCAAACTTTTTCTTCCCTTACTACTCTCTTAACATCATCATTTGTTCCACCAAACGCTTCCTCTTCCCTCCTGCACTCCACTTTCCTGATTAACCAACAACCTTCTGCGAACACTCTAACACTACATTTTTAAAACCACCCCATAACCTGGCTTCGACTCCCAATTGCCTATGCTCTCAATAGCCCATCTATGCCTCCAATAGCTGTTTATCTCTTACCCTAACTGGCCTCCTCTTTAGTTTTATAAACTTCACCTCGTCTCTTCCGGATGCTCTATACACCTTGTATCCCATCTACCTTTTTACTCTCAGTGTAGCTACAACTAAAAGTGATCTGTAATATCGTGGCCCCCTCCTAAAAACATGTACAATCCCTGAGAGTCTACCTCAACAGTCCTTTTATCTACCATACATAATCCAACAAACTACTGTCATTTCGCGCCAACATCATTAATCGTGTATCCTTAGTTTATCCTCCTTTTTCTTAAAATATGTATTACCTAAAACTAAACCGCCTTTCTATTACAAAGTTCAATCAAAGGGCTCCCATTATCATTTACACCTGCACCAGGTCCAAACTTACCTACCCACCCCTCTAAAAGTTTTCTTCCTACTTTAGCATTCCAAGTCCCCACACAATTTACTCTCTCACTTGGTTCAAGAGGCTCCTATACATTCACATAACACTCCCAAAATCTCTCTCTTCTCCCTGCATCCCTCTTTCTCCAGGTGCATACACACTTATTATGACCCACTTCTTTCTCTCGCATCAACCTTTACTTTTAATCCACATAATTTCTTGAATTTACACATTCATATTCTCTTTTCTCCTTCCAAACTGATCATTTAACATTACATGCTACCCCTTCCTTTGCTCAAACTCTCTCAGATACTCCAGAATTAATCCCATTTATTCCCCCCACTGAAACTCTCCTACCCCTTCAGCTTTGTTTTCGCTTAGGGCCAGGACATCCAACTTCTTTTCATTCATAACATCAGCAATCATCTGTTTTCTTGTCATCCGCACTACATCCACGCACATTAAGCAAACCAGTATTATAGAAGTATTTCTTCTTCTCTTTTTTTAGTAATAGTATAAGGGAGAAAGGGTTACTAGCCCCTTGCTACCCGCATATTAGTCGCGCTCATAACGACACCATGGCTTACGGAGGAAAGATTTCTGTTCCACTTCCCCCATGGTACAATAGAAGAAATAAAAAAGAACAAGAGCTATTTAGAAAAAGGAGAAAAACCTAGATGTATGTATATAATATATGTCATGTGCGTGGTCTGTGAATGTGACCAAAGTGTAAGTAGGAGTAGCTAGATATCCCAGGTTATCTTAGCGTGTTTATGAGACAGAAATAAAACCAGCAATCCTACCATCATGCAAAACAGTTACAGGTTTTTGTTTCACCATTCCATCTGCAGGAATGGTATACTGCCCCTGGGTGGTTCCTGCTACCAACCTACTACTATATATATATATGTGTGTATATATATATATATATATATGTATGTATGTATGTATGTATGTATGTATGTATGTATGTATGTATGTATGTATGTATTATAACTGAAGAAATTTAATTCATATCACATGGGAAAGAATATGAATCTTTTGGCATTGAATGACCCCTTAAGAGAGGTTCTTTAGTGCTGGTGAGGGGCTCTTGATCTAAGTAACTGAATCAATGCTCCAATCCCTTGAATCAAACCTGAATGCCTTCCATTACCACGGGTGTAGCATCCCCCCATGAATGTAATAATAATAAGGCATTAATTGAAGTAAATGTCATTGTGTAACAAATCAATTACCATCATCAGGATTCATTTCTGGAACATAAAACACCGTACAAACCATAATAAGTCCCACGTAAAAATACAATAAAATATTATCCCAAGCTATCACAGAAGAAATTTACAATCTTATCTGACTTAGAAGGTCACTCTCCAGACACATCACAACCATTGAATAAGTAAACAGAAAAAACGAATAAAATAGGGTAAACTGTGATAAATTCAAAGTAAACACTGAATCCTTACCATCGAGTCCAGGTTTAAGTTGTTTAATAATAACAATAATAATAATAATAAAATAATAATAATAATAAATAATAATAATAATAGATAATAATAAAATAATAATATAAATAAAATAATAATAAATAATAAGAAAAATATCTTATTTCTACTAGGTAGTCATGTACATACAGGCCTAACTGACATACTACACTACTACATAGAAAACCGCTTTGTGCAGAGCATTTCGACGTGCAAATTAAGTTCAGTTTTGTCCCAGGATCGAACCCGACACAGTCGATTAACGATCAGGACCCATTATATGATGGGTGAACATGGAATACCAGTGTAAGGAAACACGCCCAAATGTTTCCATACCCCATCTAAATTCTTAAAATCCTAAGATTCTGATACCTTAACTATATAATATTTAAACTCATGTGGACTCTGGGCATGAAATCTGGGATCAAAAGAATCTGAAAAGTTGAGTGATCAAAGGGTCTCTTGATCATAGGAACATAGACGCCCTTCTCTTCTTGCTCTGATCTGACAGACCTTCATTTAAGAAATATTGTAGGATCACTATACGCTTCAGCACTTCCCCTATGAATGCATTAATAGTAATATACACACTAGTAAATTTCAGGAGCAAACCTTCAGAAGACGAAAAAAGAAGACAATGGAGATTACTTATACATTTCGGCGTAAAACTGAAGCCAGAATAGTCTTTAAAACAAAATAAAAAAAAAAAAAGTGAACTCACTCTGTGCTTGTGTCTCGCTGAGGTCGCCGCCTTGTCCGATGATGGTGCGCCCAACCGGTCAGAGACAGCCGATTATCCCTCGAACCAGTTGACCTGTGCCCGACCCCTGATACCTGACACTGGACCCACCGGGGAAGTCAGGACTCTGTCCTCGCATACCTTCCTGCTGCAGGCGAGGGCTAGGGTTCCAGGGGCGTGGACGCTTGAGTGGAGCGTGCAGGTTGTGGAAGCTCATCCTGCCATCCGCAGCATACTGGGGAAGCGAAGGTTTTACAATAATAATCACTACTTATGGTAAACTCTTTTTTTCCCTGTGGATATAATAGCTTGTCTTGAAGCCTGGCTGTAAGGGGGGTACTGTCCTAGCAGACGAAGGATCGAAACCTCAATCACTCTTTTCTTAGAGACTTTTAAATATCATAAGTTGTATTTCAAAATCTTGAGATACAGTAAAAAAAAAGATTTGATAAAGAATTCCCCCAAAATGCTGACAAGATGTTACTATAGATTCCTGTAAAATTTGGGACAAAGTTTATTAGGGTCAAACTGTTAAAATTCTCGAACTAAAGATTAAAAACAACATATATATAGCAATTAGGAACTGGACAAGATTCCAAAGCCTATTTACTCATGTGAGAGATTATAACCATCGAATTTGATTTTCAAAAAGTGAGAAGTTGAAATCGCAAGAAACAAGTCCATGGCGATAGAAAATATAAATTTGAATCTCAACTTCATAAAAAAGCAGTTTTTGAAAATAATTATGAGTATTTCTGTTGGTTTTATATAAATTTTAGATCCATTTATAATTAATAGAATTAGGGAAGAGTTAATAATAACATGGACAAATTAATAAATCTTAATTCTGGGTAAAATAGTTTGTTTGTGGGTTGCCGTGAAGGACCGGTCTAGTTGGGCCAGCAGGCCTGCTGCAGTGTTCTCTTTTCTTATGAGTCGTGTGTCATCGCACTCTGGTGTATGCCTTTGTGTGTGGGATGTGATGGTGAGGTGGCGGTCTAGACTCTTTATATTCCTTCCTTTGATGTATTACTTTTATTGTTCCTTGATAATGTAGAGTCAGTCACGAAAGCGCTTGTAAATTTCACTATTCTTTCACAGTTGGTTGTTTTGCATATGTACATTGGTGTAATGAGAAAATAATGACACTTACCTTTATTGAGGATGTGGTGAAGAGTGATGATGGAGGAGAGGAGATGATGTTAGTGTTTTTTTGGAAGGGGAATCCCCTCCATGAGGACTGAGGAGCAAGTCTTTTTCAGGGGTTTACTTCCCATCTTTGTTTCTTTAAAGCCACTAGGACCGAGCTTGAGAGTCATTTGGCGCCTCTGTCGACAGCCCAGAAAAAAAAAAAAAATCTGTCCATAGAGCCTGTACCTCGCTTCCCTGTTTAAGATTTTCCTAAAATGGGCCACCTACATTGTCCATTGTAATAGTCACCAACACGGCTTCAATAGCTGTGTTTTGGGTGATTTTCCATCCAAGAGTAACGTTGTATAAAGGTTTGATGTCAACCCACTTTGAACACAGGTGCTTAAATCTTGAAGAAGGCAACTTCCTTAATCTCTTTCTCCCCTCCTCTGAAGCAATTTCCTCAGTTGTGGCCTCTTGCTGTTGCAGATGCTCTTGCAGCTCATCAGTGGGTTATTCTACATGGTCGTCCACCACCACACATTCCACAAGTCCTCCCCACTAACCACCAACCCCAGGACTTCCCCAATGTCACAATAGATTCCACAAACTGGCATAGGCTTCTCAGGTTACACTCCCAGGCTGTGTCCAGGAGTTGTGTTTATTCCCTCCTGTGTAATGTAGGGTCCCTGTTTTGGCATTTTCTTCTAAACTGACCTGTTTCGCTACACTATTAAACACTTGTTGGGGGCTTCAATCCTTCACCCTTCTAATGACTTCCTTGACTTCCTGTACATATTTTTCAGCCGTTTTTTTGTTCCGAACTGGCAGCACACCATGCCTTTATCACACTATGTAATGCAACTACGATTCTTGAATCTCTCAAACCAGACCTTGCTGCCTTATTCACTCACTGCACCACTAGTTGCAAGGCATTTTTATAATTAAATCGTCATGCAACTGCCCTTGCTTTTATCACATAGGATCCGCTTGAGAGATGCTATCTCCCGATATCAGTTTTTTTTTTTTTTTTTTCGTTTTATCCCACACCAATAATCCCTCAACATCTTCGAGTTACTTGCGATCTCTGTTTCGAAACACATACTTGCACCTTTTGCAACAAAACACTTTCCTTAATTGCCTTTTTGTTAGCCAAGATAAGTAAGCGATGGGTTGATTTGGGGTTTGTTTTACAACCAGGCCAGCTCTGAGACACCTTATTCCTGTTTCAATACTTTGTGATGATTCTCCTTCTTCATTTCATAGTAATTCTCAACCCTTTTACCAGAGGGTATATCACTAGAAGCTTTCCTGGGGCCCATGGTGGCTTATTTTGCAGTTACAAAGCAAGTAAAAACTCTGGAATACACAAAAAAGTGCCCGAATGTAAGCATGGATGCACCTTGCGAACCGACACTAACACTAACTGAAGGCAGGACCAGCAAAGGCCTCAGGCCAGACTGGACACGTGGACTGGTCTAGAGAATCATGTGGAGTTTTTCCAATCGTTGGTCGGCCAAAAAATTTTAATGTTCAAACCTTCGTTAGTCGAACTTTATCGCTAAATTAATGCCTTCGTTGGTCGGGGGGTCCACTGTATGCGGTATAATGGTACGAGTGTGGTGTGTGTGTGTGTATATATATATATAATATATATATATATATATAATTATATATATATATATATAATATATATATATATATAGATATATATACATATAAATATATATAATTTTTTTTTTTTTTTTGTTTTTTTATTATCACACCGCGTTTGATTCCCACCAAGGCAGGTGGCCCGAAAAAGAAAAACTTTCACCATCATTCACTCCATCTCTGTCTTGCCAAAGGGTGCTTTACACTACAGTTTTTAAACTGCCAACATTAACACTCCCTCCTTCAGAGTGCAGGCAACTGACTTCCCATCTCAGGACCAAGGCCGGCCTGCCGGTTTTCCCTGAAATCCCTTCATGAAATTTACTTTGCTCACACTCCAACAGCAACGTCAAGTATTAAAAACCATTTGTCCTCCATTCCCTCCATCAAACACGCTCACTGCATGCCTGCTGGAAGTCCAAGCCCTCCTCGCGACACAAAACCTCCATTTACCCCCTCCCTCCAACCCATCCTAGTCCGACCCCTACCCCCCCCTTCCTTCCACTAACAACTGATACACTCTTGAAAGTCAGTTCTGTTGTCCGCCTCCATTCTCTCTACATGTCCGAACCAACCTCAACAAACCCTTTCATCACCCTCTGGACAACATTTAGGTAATCCACACCTCCCCTCCTAACTTCCAAACTACGAATTCTCACATTATATTCACAACCACACATGCCCTCCAGACAGACATCTCCACTGCCCTCCAGCCTTCTCCTCGCTGCAACATTCATCACCCACCTTCACACCCATATAAGAGCGTTGGTTAAAAACTATACTCTCTACATTCCCCCCCTCTTTGCCTCCAAGAACAAAGTTCTTTGTCTCCACAGACTCCTAATGCACCACTCACTCTTTTCCCTCCCATCCAATTCTATGATTCATCGCTCATCTTTCATAGACCCATCAGCTGACACCGCCACGTCCCCAAATATCTGAAATACATTCACCTCCTCACATACTGCATCTCCCTCCAATCGATATCAATCTTTCATCACCTAATCGTTTGTATCCTCATAACCCTACTCTTTCCTGTATTCACCTTTAATTATTCCTTCTTGTGTGCACACCCAACCAAAATTCATCCACCAATCTCTGCAACTACTCTTCAGAATCTCCAAGAGCACAAGTGTCATCACAAAGAGCAGCTTGACAACTCCCACTTGTTTGTGAGATTCTTGGTCTTTTTAACGCCACGCCTCTTGACCAGACCCGACCGCATTACTTCTCATTACAACCCATCTATAAATATAATAAACAACCACGGTGACTCACACATCCTTGTCTAAGGCCTTTACCTTTACTGGGAAAAAATTTCCTCTTTCCTACATACTCTAACTTGAGGCCTTCACTATCCTCGAAAAAACCTTCACTGCATTCAGTAACCTAACCTCCTACACCTTACACTGCAACTCGGCCCCTGCCACATTGCCCCCCTATCCAACCCGTCATATGCCTTTTCCAAATCCATAAATGCACAAAGACCTCCTTTAGCCTTATCTAAATACTGTTTCACTTATAGTTTCACTGTAAACCCCTGGTCCAAACAACCCCTAACCTTTCCTAAAGCCTCCTTGTTCTTCTGCTATCCTATTCTCTTCTCCCGTCTTACCTTAATTCCTTCAATTAGTAACTCTTACCATACACTTTACCAGTGTACACTCAACATGACTTATCCCCCTATTATTGTTTGCACTCTCTTTTATCCCCTTGCCTTTATACAAAGAACATGCATGCTCGCTGCCAATCCCTAGTACATTACCCTCTTCCATACATTTATTAAATAATTGAACCAACCACTGCAAAACTAATCCCCACCTGCCCCTTTTAAACATTCTATCTTTATCCATCAATCCCGGCTTGCCTTACCCCCCTTTCATTTGCCTACTGCCTCACGAAACTTCCCCCACACTCACAACTTTCTCTTCCTCACTCCTACAAGATGTTATTCCTCCTTGCCCTATACACGAAATCAACAGCTTCCCTATCGTTCATCAACAATTTTATCAATTCCTCAAAAATATTCACTTCCATCTTCCCAATTCCTCTAACTCTCCATTTAATAACACTCCTCTCTCTTCCCTCTCCTATTTTTAACTGACAAAATCCATTTAGTTCTCTGAGGCTTTCTTAACTTGTTAAATCTCACTCCAAAACTTTTTCTTATTTTCAACAAATTTGTTGATAACATCTCATCCACTCTCTCAAATTTGCTCTCTATTTACATTGCTTCACCTCTCTCTTAACTCTCTCTTTTCTCCATATACTCTTCCCATCCTTTGCGAACACTCTCTACTTGTAAAAAACTTCTCATATGCTAACGTTTTTCTCCCTTAACGAACTCTCTTACATCATCATTCCACCATCGCTCTTCCTCTTCCCTCCAGCACCCACTTTCCCTGTAACCACAAATTCTAACTTCGTTCTCCTGAACACTCTAAACACTAA